CACCAAAAAACTACTTGACCTAATAGGTGAATTTGGCAAAGCAGCAGGATACAAAGTCAATATTCAGAAATCAAAGGCACTTTTGTACACCAACCATGAAGTATCAGAAACAGAAATCAGGAAAAAAAATCCCACTTGCTATAGCAGCAAGAAAAATAAAGAACCTAGGAATAAACCTAACCAAGGAGGTAAAAGACCTGTACTCAGAAACTGCAGAACACTGAAGAAAGAATTAAGGAAGACGCAAATAAATGGAAGCATATCCCAAGTTCATGGGTTGGAAGAATTAACGTCATCAAAATGTACATAGTACCCAAAGCAATTTACAGATTCAATGCAATCCCTATTAATATACCAAGGACATATTTCACAGATATAGGACAAACATTTCAAAACTTTTTATGGAACCTTAAATGACCCTGAATAGCCATGGCAAGTTTGAGGAAGAAGAACAAAGTAGGACAGATCACAGCACCAAACATAAAACTATATTACAAAGCCACTGTCATCAAAACAGTCTGGTACTGGCATAAAAACAGACACATAGATCAATGGAACAGAATAGAGAACCCAGAAATAAACCCACGTCTCTGTGGTCAATCAATATTCGACAAAGGGGGCAGGAGCATAAAATGGAGTAAGAATAGCCCCTTCACCAATGGCGTTGGGAGATCTGGACAGTTACATGAAAAAAAATGAAACTCGACCACCAACTTACACCATACACAAAAATAAACTCAAGATGGATAAAAGAGAAATATAAGTCGTGGCACCATAAAAGTCCTAGAGGAGAACATAGGCGGGAAACGCTCAGATATTCCATGCAGCAATATTTTCACCAATATATCCCCTAGAACAAGGGACATAAAGGAAAGAATAAACAAATGGGACCTCATCAAAATAAAAAGTTTCTGTACGGCTAAAGAAAACATCAGCAAAATGAAAAAGGATCCAGATGTATGGGAAAATATATTTGCCAATGATACCTTAGACAAGGGTTTGATCTCCAAAGTATATAAAGAACTCACACAACTCCACTCCAGGAAGACAAACAACCCAATTAAAAAATGGGCAAAGGACCTGAACAGACACTTCTCCAAGAAGGACGTACACAGAGTCCAGAGATATAGGAAAGGATGCTCAGCGTCACCAGCCATCAGAGAGATGCAAATTAAAACCACAATGAGATACCACTTCACAATGATGGTCAGAATGGCCATCAGAAACAACTCAACAAATAACAAGTGCTGGCGGGGTTGCGGAGAAAAGGGAACCCTAGTGCTGTGTTGGCGGAAATACAGACTGGGGCAGCCACTGTGGAAAAGAGTGTGGAATTTCCTCAGAAAACTAAAGACGGAATTGTGTTTTGACCTGGCAATTCCACTGCTGCGATTATACTGTAAGAACTCTCAAACACCCGTTCAAAAGAACCTGTGCAGCTCAATGTTCAGAGCAGCACAATTTACAACAGCCAAATGCTGGAAGCAACCTAAGTGTCCATCAGTAAATGAGTGGATCAAAAAACTATGGTACGTTTACACAACGGAATGCTATACAGCAGAAAGAAAGGAGCTCCTACCCTTTGCAACAGCATGGATGGGGCTGGAGAGCATTATGCTAAGGGAAGTAAGGCGGGGGCGGTGAGGTGGGAGGGGAAGATAAATACCATATGATCTCACCTATAAGTGGAACCTAATCAACAAAACAAACAAACAAGCAGACTATAACCAGAGGCATTAAAATAAAGAACAAAGTGACTGTAATCAGATGTGAGGAGGGAGACGCATAATGAGGGAAAATAGGGGACAGGTCATCAAGGAATCCGTATCAAGGACATATGGATAAAACCAAAGGGGGTAGGTTGGAGGATGGGAGGCAGGGATGCGTGGTGTGGGCATGGAGGAGTGGGTAGGAAATGGAGACATCTGTACTTGTACAACAATTAAAAAAAAATCTTAAAATATTCCAGCCTGAGTAAAAGCATTTGCTTGCATACACTTTGCATTTTCCATTGTAACCCTGATTCCATTTTTAGTAGCAAAACATGAGTCATGTTCTCAGAAATAAATAGCCACAGGACAGTGGTGAGATTACTAATGTTGTTCAGGCTGGCCACCAAGCTGTAGTCACTTTTATCTGGGATCTGTTGGTTTATAGGGCCATCGTCCAGTGCATGGTCGGCCTGGAGGGATGCTCCTGGCGCTGACACCTGCTCCTATGGACTGGGAAACACCTTTGTGGTGGTGTCTGGATGCCTGATAGCCCTTCCCAGCCAGGTCACTGGGGAAGTGAGATGAAGCTCCTGGAGAAATAGGGATGAAGTAGAACAGCCATGGCACATTTGTTTTAATGATTCCAAACTGTACAGGAAAATATAATGTAAATAGTCTCCTCTGAACCAGTCCACTATGGACAACCCCTTAACTTAGCAAAGTTTTCCATATTTTTTTCCTATTCTGGTGCTAATGTTTATTTCTATGATTTTTAATTTTTATAAAAAATGGGATCATACTGTACATACTGCTTTTCAGCTTGCTTTTTGAACATAATCAGCACTAACACCTTTCTCTGTTAAGTCTACCTCTTTTCAACAGCTGCTATGTATTATTGCATTGTATGTGCACACTGTGATTTATGTAGCTACTTCTCAGCTGATGAATGTTTGGATTGTTACCAATTTTTCATGATTTCAAACAGGACTGCAGAGGCTATAACTTACTCTTTTTGTGTGCTTGTATGAGTATTTCTGTAGGCTGAATTTGTAGAAGTAGAATTGCTAGGTTTAAGAACTTGAACATTTAAAAGTTAACATACATTACTAAATTATCTCAGAAATAGTGCTCTAATTTTACATGCTTACCAACAATATATGAGAAAATGCCTGTTTAAATCTTCACAAATGTCACAGGTAAAAAGAAATACTATCTAATTGTTTTTAATGAACATTTCTACTTAGACTGATTTTAAAAATAATTTATTATATGTAAATTGCTTGTGCATACTTTTTTTCTGAGTGATTTGTTACTTTTTTCTTATTAAGTCATTTTACTTTTTTATAAAGCAACTTAAAAGACTGACTCTCAGTATCGCACTTGTGGTGAATGAGTATAAAAGTAGTATTGTCACTCAAAGCCACACATAGTTCTGTATATGCTTTTTGTTACTAACAAAATGGTTATTTGGAAAGCCCAGGCAAAACTCTCAGAAGAGTTGCTTCAGTGTGGTGAATTTAGTAAAAAGGAAGCTCAATATATGAGGCCAAAAGTTTTGGCAGCATACTAACTGCTGGTGGAAAAGAAAACAGGTTAGCCGTAGTGGCATGATAAACTCAGTGTAAACATATTATGATGAGATGTCAAAATGGTAACAGAAGTTACTGATTTGTCCCCACTGACTGGTGCCTACAATGCTCCCTCCTCTAGCCAGCCTTATGTCTACTTGCAGTCAGAGCAAGTGTTCTGTCACTCTACTCAAATACTGTTAAGTTCTCTGAACTCCCAAGTGTGATCAGAGCTAAGAACCTATTTAGCAAACTTTCCCTCATCCACATACTCATAAGTTTCATTTTCTCATTTCCGTATTTTTCCTGTTCCTCATTCTCCTTTCTCACCTACAATCTCCTAATCCAAGCTTTCTCTTTCTAAGCCAGTATCCTAGATATCTGGGAGAGATTTCAGAGGCTGAGACCCAGACCTGCTTCTTTATATCATATTAAAAAGTCAGCACTAAGACGCACACACTGCTGTCCTGACTGGTGTGGCTCAGTGGGTTGGAAATTGTTTTGCAAACTGAAGGGCTGCCAGCACAGGCCTGGATTACAGGCCAGTTCCCTGGCTGGGGTGTGCAACCAATTGATGTTTCTCTCACATATCAATGTTCCTTTACTCTCTTTCTTCCTTCCCTGTCCTCTCTCTAAAAATAAATGAATAAAATCTTAAAAAAACCACACACACAAAACACACTGCCTATTGTTTCTCTCCCGGTCTCTCTGGAAGCAAGTGTTTATAAATACCAAAAATAGTCAGCATTATACTTATTTCTCCCTTGCTTCAATCATCACCCTGTCTACGACTCATCTGTCTTACTCTTATCGCCTTTGTATTCAATCCTAAACAGAGTGCAAAGTCACAACTCAGCTACATATCTGAACACTTTTAAAATAAACAAAACGGAAAATATAAACATTTCTCCTTTCCTAAAAAGAAAAACACTATTATTCTTTTTGTAGGTAACAGAAGAGGAACAGAAGAGGGCTTGAAGGATTGTGAATACCTTCTGAAGACTAGTAAGTTTGAGAAACATCATCCTAATTCTTCTAGTCTATGTGTTTCCTTACAATAGGAAACTATGCTTGATCTTAACTTTGGTCCCAGATTAGGAAAACCATTTTTCTGATCAGTGAGATACTGTGATTTTTTTTTTTTTACATTAAGGCTAAGGATCGTATTTTCTCAGAAGTCTGTTGTAATAGCAGTAAGCTATGATAGTGGTCACCCATGGAATAGAAGAAGCATTTCACATGAGATAGATTCTGTAGTACTGGGCTTGAAAACAAATCTAATTTATTTGTCTACAGGCCAAAAAACTTTTATAATTTTTCCTTTTATACATCTGTTTTCTATAGATGCATGTGACTTGCTTTCTGTACCTCCACCTACAACTTCAGTTTCCCATATTAAAAAGATTTAAATATCTTTTACTAGGTGATTTAAAAAATAAATCAGCTTGACAGTCTGGGGTCAAGGCCCTGTTACTATGAAACTACTTGTAATCTGGTCTCTTTTTATTCAGGGGGAGGACAGGGAGGAAAATATTCCAAAACAAAACAAAATAAATAACAAAAGTGAACAATCCTCTACTCCAATTTATGCCCTAAACAAACAAAAACAACTTCTGCTCTAAATTCAAATTCCAATCGCAATTAAGGACCCAAAGAATGTTTAATTTGGGAAGACTCATTCTAGGTCATCTCATCTGCTGCTATTGGCTCCTCCACTTACCAGATTGCTGCTTCAGCTGCTCTTTTTGGATTGCTGCAAAATGCTTGGCATCAGCCAGGGAGCCAAAAAGAGCAGCAAAGGGGTTACTTGAGATGTTGTTGTTATTCTCTTGGTCTGTCATTTCACTTTAAAGTGTCCTCCATCCAGACCTAGGGGAAGGGCTATAGAAAGGACAGGTATTAGACACAGAAGGTCAGATAACATACCAGTTGTAATATACTCACGTTTTTAAAGGCTTTAGTAAGACTTTAACATTTCTGTCCCAGCATTTAAGACATTTTGGCAAAATGGTTACAAACCTACCAACTGGACAAGTTTGGCCTGCTTTTGGGGGGGCTAAAACAAAAACACTTACAAAATGTTCAGCTGGAATTCATTTATCTGTTGACATGTTTCTATTTGTTATACCTTTAAAAAACAGGTTAAGTAGAAAGAAAAAACAGGGAACTCACCTAATTGTAACAACAATGTGACACCTAAAAGTAATACAGCAAGCTATGGATTTCCCATAAATCTCTAGGCTGGCCAACTAGTTCTCATTTACCAGGAGCATGAGGTGGCACTTGCTCTGGCTTCCATGACTATTTATTAGAGCTGGGAATTCCTCAGCTACATACATACTAAATGTAAGCCTATATCTCAGACATGGATTGACAAATCAGGATGGAAACCAGATTAGCAGCATGTTGTGGGAGAACACACACACACACACACGCACGCACACACAGAATCTGTCTGGAAAAAGTCCAAACATTGTTAATATAACAAGAATGGTTTGTGCAACATCAATGTAACCTGGCAGCCAAGGACAGTGGACTGGAATGCGCATGTATGAACAATGATGACTTCACTGTACTAGTCAGTGGGGGCAGTAGACATCCTTCAGTGAGCATGTGTACAGTGTGGCCATTGCATTCAAAATGCCTGAGTAGAACAACGGATCTGCATCAAATTTTGCTTTAAGCTTGAACATTCCTCTGCAGAAACTATTCAGATGATTCACACAAGGCCACAGCTGCAGGCAACTGGTGATTGGCAGTTTCTTCATGACAATGTATTTGCTCATGTATCACATCTCATGCAGAGTTTTTTGGTGAAATATCAAATCACCCAGGTGACTCAGCCTCCCTACAGCCCAGGTTTGGTGCCCTGTGACTTCTGGCTTTTCCCAAAACTAAAATTGCTTTAGAAAGGAAAAAGATTTCAGACTGTTGATGAGATTTTGGAAAATATGACAGGGCAGCTGATGACAATTGGGAGAACTGTGTGAGGTCCCAAGGTGCCTACTTTGAAGGGTCCTGGGGCATCATTGTGGTATGTACAATGTTTCTTATATCTTGTATCTTCTTCAATAAATGTCTTTATTTTTCATATAACATGGCTGGATACTTTCTAGACACACACACACACACACACACACACACACACACACACACACACTTGATCTATTTCTACTCCTAGGCTTACAACTACAGATATTACTTCCACTAATAATTAAATGATCTGCCCTGACTGGTGTGGCTCAGTGGACTGAGCACCGACATACGAACAGAAAGGTCGCCAGTTCGATTCCCAGCCAGGGTGCATGCCTGGTTTGCAGGTCAGGTGCCCAGTTGGGGGTGTGGAAGAGGCAACTAATCTATGATTCTCTTACACATAGATGTTTTTCTCCCTCTCTTTCTCCCTTCCATCCCCTCTCTAAAAATAAATAAATAAAATCTTTAAAAAACCCCTAAATCATCTTTGATTACTTTTATATTTAACTTTCATTGTTTATCTGATTTTTTACAATACTGAAGAAACACAAATTCCTAATGTGTAATATGAAATAGATATATACCTCAAAGGTATTTAGTGGAGGTAACTGAACCTGCATTTGCACTCTTCTGATTACATTTCCTCATTCAAGTGCAAAGGGGACATAACGGCACAATGGGATAAGCAGAGCTTTCTGAAAGGCTTTCTCCCATTTCTGAAAAATTTAAGGCCACAGCACAGAAATACAACCCTGAAAAGCATGTGAAGAGACAAAGGGTATGAATATTCTGCTACAAGGATGTTGAACTGCTATAAGAACAGAGGCCTTAGCAGAAGTGAGGACAGGGGTATAAGGAAAGGAGAAAAAAAACAAAAACAAATGGTTTACCTTTAATTTATTGAGATAAGACTCCTCACTGAATCATATTAACAAAAGCTAATGCAAATCAGGAAAGTTACTGTTATTTTTTGGAGAAAGATTACAAACTTCTTGACAATTCTGTGGCATCTCCACCAGTTGCTCCATGTTCCTCTGTCATGTCTTCTGAATAGAGCTAATGGCTAATTAGCTGTAATGACTTAGGCAGATAGTCTAGTTTCCTCTCAGCATGATGCTAGGCTTTACTGCTTCAAGGAACTGAACTGTTAGATGTTGTTGTTATGCTATGTATAACTATGTATTTTTTGTTATGTATAATTTAGTTGAGCTTAATGCAAAAAATTAGCAGTGTTAAAATTAACAAAAATCTTGGAGAGGGCTTTCCCCTGATTTAATCATTGTATGAACTTAATTATTAGCCCTAATTTATGCAGAAGACAAGAACTGTCTAATTGTTACCTGACTACCATTCTACTTCTATCCTAAAGTATTCTGATGTCAAGAGGAATGCAAAAAGTATAGTGAGCTCTTGTTATTTTCTGTTTCCAAATACCATTCTCCTTTTTCAACATAACACCCACATTATTCCCTTGGGGATCCATCCCATTCTTAATTCATATATTTAAAAGGAGATGACCTCCCTTTTGATCCAGTGATCCCACAACTGCAAGTATACCCTAAGAATCCTGAAACACCAATTCAAAAGAACTTATGCACCCCAAAGTTCATAGCAGCATTATTTACAATAGCTAAGTGCTGGAAACAGCCTAAGTGCCCATCAGTAAATGAGTGGATCAAAAAACTGGTACATTTATACAGTGGAATACTACTACACAGCAGAAAGAAAGGAGCTCCTATCCTTTTTGACAGCATGGATGGAATTGGAGAGCATTATGCTAAGTGAAATAAGCCAGGCAGTGAAAGACAAATACCATATGCTCTCACCTATAAGTGGAACCTAATGAACAAAACAAACGAGCAAAATAGAACCAACGACATGGAAATAAGGAACAAACTGACAGTAACCAGAGGGGAGGGGGGAGAGTGAAAGAAGGAGAACAGAGGGAAAGAAGGGGTCTAGTCAAGGAGCATGTATAAAGGAGCCACGGTAAAGGAAAAGGGAAAAGGGATTGACAGAGGGAGCAGAGTAGGGAGGGGAGAGCAATGGCGGGAAAATTGGGACAACTGTAATTGAACAATAAAAAAATTAATAAAAAATAAAAGATGACCTCACCCACTAGCTTCAGGAATGGGCATATGAAGCTGGCCTGACCAAAAAGAATACAGCATTCTCTGGCCAAACTGACTGATTCAGGAGTAAGTACAAGACTCTAGCAAGGCCTATGAAATTCAATAAACATTAGCTTCAGGCCTCTAGATGAATGTACAGAAAAGGGATCTCTTTTTTTCCTGCTTAAGTTGCTAGGCTGGTTAAGACATAAACATGGAGTTGCCATCTTTCCACCCCCTAGAAATGGCCTATCCTAAAACTAAGCCAACATACAGGAAAACAGAAATTGGAGATGGCGTTTTTTCAGTTATAAAAGCCAATAGATTCCCTTATATTGTGTAAACAAGTTTGAATTGGTTTTTAAAAACACAACTGAAAAGAGTTCAGTTTACTACAAAGGAGATGAATCACTTATACCATCTACACAGAAAGAAGCATAGCTGACCCTTGAAGAACATGTGGTTGGGACACCAATCCTCCATGCAGCAGAAAATCCACTTATAACTTTTGACTCTGCCAAAACTTAACTAATAGTTTACTGTTGACCAGAGGCCATACATATGACATAAAGTCAATTAACATGTATTTTGTATGTGATAGGTATTATATACTGTATTTTTACAATAACGCTGGAGAATATTAAGAAAATAATAAAGAGAAAATATATTTACAGTACTGTACATATTTATTGAAAAATATTATGCATTTAAGTGGACCAGCACAGTTCAAACCCATATTGTTCAAGGGTCAACTATGAATGTAATACACAACATATGATAGAAGGCTCTTAAGAATATCAAGAAAGAGGAGAGATAAATGGCATTATCTTCTCCTTTTTTGAATACTATACTGGCACATATGAAACCTGCTTCCCATTACATTTTATCTCTATTTTTAATAGGATTTATAACTTTCTACATTGTATTCCTAATGCAGATCTTACCCTGTGCTACACTGTAAGCAACTGGAATACAGGTTCATATCTGATTACTTTTTCTCCTATCTGGCATTATATACTAAAATCACAAAATCACAAATAAATATTTATTGAATTATTCAGTTTTACGTGAAATTAGTCCTGACCTCATAATAGCAGCACCATGAATCTACTTCAAGGTAAAGGTTTTACTCTTTGTCTTGGATTGCAGTTGGAAGGTCCAGACCTATGTCTCAACTGTATCTCAGCATATATAGAATAGAGAATAGAAATAAATCTGTTGTTATATCTGCTGTGTGTCTTTTTGAAAAACAAAAAGGTTTTTGCCAACCTCACTAACCTCATCTTTTTCATATGGATTTCAAATCTGTGCACAAAACTATTTTCACAGAGAAAGGGCTAATACCATGTAACTACTTATAGAAAAGTTTTACAGGAAAAGGGAAGACTAATCACTTGATGAGAACCTTTGTGGAGATGCCATTCTAGATTTGCTCAATGGCCTCACAAAGGTAAAACAAGTACCTAGAATCACCCACCCTGAAAGAAAGGTTGGATAAAATGGGACCTTGATATTTTGTTTCAAACTCAACATCACTGATAATTTATAGTCTGCTATTTTCAACTGCCACATAAAAATACAGAACTATCCTATTGTTAGCCTTTGAGATAGTACAACCACTAATCTTTAGAGCTTTTGGATTTGATTCTTTTTTTAATGTTCTCCTTAAACATATGTTTCACTCTGATAACTCACTGCAAGGGTCTGCATATGTAATAGCTGTCTACCTCTACCCTATGAAATACTCTCACAACCCCCTGATTCAATCTTTTGTTTAAAAACAGTACTGTTAATCTCTTAAGGGACATTATCAGCTCTTAAAGAGGTGGGTACACAAATGTTTTAACATCAGATTTGGTATTGCTTTTAAACAAATACTTGGAGTACTTTGTAAAACTGGGATTGTCAAAATCAAGCTGTATAAAATAATCCGTTAATGTCTCTGTCCTGATGAGTTATACATACATCAAACAAAAAAAGGAATTAAAATGTTTTCATAGTTGTATGCTCCACCCAACAATCCTTTCAGGCCCCTCTATTTGGGCCTGAAATAGGTCCTTCCAACACATCAGCAAGCTAGGATATAATCAAGCAGACACTATTTTCCTGGGTCCCATTTTATCTCAGGAGGGCTCCCATGTGAGACCAAAACAGTCTATGGCAGAGACGAAACACAATCTTGCTCTAGGAGTAGAAAAGTGATTCCAAAGAGAAGAACCATCAAATATAAGCGTCTTCTGAACCTAAATGCAGAGGTAGCATAAAGCAGAGTGCCAGCTGAGTTTTGAGTGATGAAGTGATCGCTTATGAAAAGTCAACACCTTACGATATGTTTTCAACTGATTTGTGTACTATGACTCCTGTTTAATATTACCTTACCTGGCGTCTGGCTATCTGTTGTCCCCTCTTAATACTTTTATTCCTCTAGGTTCCATAAGGACTGGGCGGGAAGAAGGGAGACCCACACACCCGGTGCATGTTTTGGAGAAAGGAAGTCATAGATAACGCAAAGCCAGCAGTATCCCGGCCTTTTCCCGGAGAGGAATGGCAAAGAGTGGTAGAGACGTCAGACCTAGGGTTCGTCAGGGGTTCCCAAATCAGACAGGGTCGAAGATCACAAAGGAGAGGGTCAGTGGTCAGGAAAGCACAGGACAAGGAATTTGGAGGAGGAATGAGTGCAGAGGCCTGAACTGGCATTCGAGTAGGAGACAAAAATCCCATTGCAGACTCGACGATCCCCTCCCCTCAAGCTATTTCCTTCCTTACCAGAGCCTGAAGGGCCAGCAGCGACGACACACGACACACGACACACGACAGTCTCACTGGCCAGAGTTCCCACTTCCGAGTCAGCCAGGCAACCGGAGCTTACATCATGACTAGGCGACAGGCCTTGTGGAATCCCATCTGAGCGCCGGAAACAGGGTGTGCCACCCAACGTGCGTAACTGGAGCGCGCGGAACTGGCGCGCCAACACGCCTGCCCTTGGCGCAGGCTCCACTGTCAAGGCCAGGGCGGGGCGGATGTGGCCGGAATTGGCCTTGGGATAGGTTAGGGGCACAGGCCTGGTGGGTGTTTGGAACGTAGTGAAATGTGAGCTGCATTCCGGGAAACTGGTGTATGGCCAATAGATACGACTTTGTGATCCCTGACACCGCCACAATTTTTCTGGGCTTCTGCTTTTTAATTTTTCTGGGCTTCTGCCTACTGTCGTATACCTTTTGAAGCAGTTTCGATTACGCTTCACTATTTATTATTAGCAATGGAGCAGCAACAACAGCAATAAGAAGAATAACAATAGCTGAATATTTTGAGCTCTTATTGTTTGGCAGGAAGTGTGGTAAAATATGCAATTTAAAATTTTTTTAAAAATCGTTATTTTTCAGTTTCAGTTGACATACAATATTATAATAGTCTCAGGTGTACAACATAGCAATTAGACAAATGTCTAATGAAATGATCACCCCAATAAGTTTATCACCTCTATGACTATACATAGTTATTACAATATTATTGACCATATTCCCTATGCTGTATGTTACATCCCTGTAACTGTTTTTTTTTTTATAACTGAATTTGTGCTTCTTAATCCCTTCACCTTTTTCACTGACTCTCCCAGCACCCTCCTCTCATCTGGTGACCATCAATTTGTTTTCTGTATGTATGAGTTTCTTTCTGCTTTGTTTATTCATTTATTTTTAAATGTTTTTATTGATTTTTAGAGAGAGACAGACCGACAGACATCGACTGGTTGCTCTACCCATTCACGCATTCATTGGTTGTTCCTTGCATGTGCCCTGACTGGGGATGGAACCCAAACCCACAAACTTGGGTTAAGAGATGGTGCTCTAACCAACTAAGCTACCCTGCCAGGGCCTTTGACCATTTATAAAATATGCTATGTTAGATTGGATTTCAGGTGTCTTATATGTAAAGTGGAGATAATTTAAAACCTACAAGGTTACTTAGAGATACACAAAAAGGGATGGAAGAAGAATATTTTTCAAGAGTTAAAAGCACTGTGCAAACAAAAAGATAATTCTAAGAATGACAAAATATTGGGAATCATGTACAGTGGTCCCCCTTAGCAACAGCAGGCTTTGTTGCAAGAATCCCAGTGGATAGTACCACACCCTATATATATCGTGTTTTTTCCTATACATACATAACTATGATAGCTTTAATTTATAAATTAGGCACAGCAAGAGATTAATAATAATAAATAATAATAAAATAGAACAATTATAATAATATACTGTAATTAAAATGATGTGAATATGTTGTCTCTCAAAATATCTTGTACTATACTCTTCTTTTCACTTAAAGGAAGCACTATATGGCTTCTCTTTGGCATATCTGAATTGTAAGCACCATTATTCTTGTGCTTTGGGGACATTATTAAGTAAAATAAGGGTTACTTAAACACAAGCACTGTGATACCAACAGTCCATCTCATACCTGAAATGGCTACTAAGTGACTAATGGTGGGGAACTTATGCAACCTGACTACATGGATATGCTGGACAAAGGAATGATTCACATCTGGCAAGATGGAGCAAGAGGGAGCTGGATGGAACAGGATGGTATGAGATTTTATAATGCCATTCAGAATAGCATGCAGTTGAAAACTTATAAATTGTTTATTTTTGAAAGTTTCTATATAATATTTTTGGACCACAGTTGATCATGGGTAACTGAAAATGCAAAAAGCAAAACTGCGGATAAGAGAGACTACTGTGTATGATACAGGATTAATATCCAGAATTTATAAATATCCAGAATTTATGAAGAACTGCCACAACTCAACAAAAAGCCAAACATTACAGAAAATGAAACATGAGTGTTTGTAAGGATGTGGAGAAATAGGAACCTTTGTGTATTGATGATGGGTATGTAAAATAGTGCAGCACTTTGGAAAAACTTTGGTGGTTCCTTAAAAAGTCAAACATAGAATTACCATATGATGCAGTAATGCCACTTCTGGGCATATACCCAAAGAATTGAAAGCAGGGACTTAAATAGATACTTGTACCCCAGTGTTCACAGTAACATTATTCATAATAGCCAAAAGGTTGAAACAACCCAAAATGTCCCTCGACAGGTGAGTGGAAAATTGGCCTTAAAAAGCCTGAGATTTTGATACATGTTACAACATGGATGAACTTTAGAAACATTATGCTAAGTGAAAGATGCCAGATGAAAAATAACAAATATTGTGTGATTTCACTTACATGTGGTACCTAGAAAAAACAAATAGAGTCAGAAAAGTAGAACAGAAGTTACCAGGGGCTGGGAGAAGGGAGTTATTGTTTAATCGGTAAGGAATTTAGGATAATGAAAAAGTTCTGGAAATGGATAGTGGTGGTGGTTGACCGATATTGTGAGTATACTTAATGCCACTGAATTGTATATTTAAAAATGGTTAAAATGATAAGTTATATGTTGTGTATATTTTAACACACACACACAGTGCTGTGTAATCTTGGTGGGCCTATCTTGTTCCAGCATTGTTCTAGTTCCTAAAGATACAGTAGTGAAAAAACACAAGTCTTTTTCCATGGAGTGTACAATCCAGAAAGAGTGGAGTGGTAACATAGCATTTAAAACAGTAAATTACAGCACAGAAAACACAGTCAATAATATTGTAATAACTATGTATGTTTCCAGGTGGATACTAGAATTACTGAGGGGATCACTTTGTATATTATGCAAATATCTAACCAGTATGATATATACCTGAAAGTAACATAAAACAATACTGACTGTTAACAGTAATTGAAAAATAAAATATAATAAAATCAATGAGCACAGATGGATTATTCAAAAATAGTTCTGGAATAACTGGGAAACTCATTTAAAAGTTAACCAATGTATTAGGCCTTTACACTAAAATTAATTAAAGATTTAAATGTATTATACAAAATCATTAAAATGCTAGAAGAATTCATGGGAGAATTTCCTTTTGCCTTTTTAAGTAGTAGGTGTTTAATATCTCATTCTTATCTTTCAGTATTGGTCTTTTGACGTGTTCTACATTTTAAAGATAATTTTTGTTTTTCAATTACAGTTCATGTACAATATTATATTAGTTTCAGGTGTATAACTGTATTATTAGACACCTGATATTATTTGTAAGTTATATATTTGTATAACTTACAAAGTGATCACCCTGATAAATCTAGTGTCCAACAAACATCATATATAGTTATTACAATATTACTATATTTCTTATGATGTACTTTACATCCCTGTGACTAATCTGTAACTAGCGATTTGTACTTCTTAATCTCTTCACTTTTTTCATGCATCCCTCCAACCCCCTCCCACCTGGCAACCATCAAAATATTCTTTGTATCTATGAATTTGTTTCTCTTCTGCTTGTTAATTATTTATTTTTAGATTGCACATATAAGTGAAGTCATCTGGCATTAGTTTTATTTCACTCAGCAAAATACTATCTAGATCCATCCATGTTGTTGCAAATGGCAAGATCTTATTTTTTTATGGCCAAAACATATTCCATTTTATATATGCACCACTTCTTTATCCATTTATCTATTGATAGGCACTTAGGTTGCTTCCATATCTTGGTTATTATAAATAATGCTACAATGAACATATGGATGTACTGTATTTTCCCGTGTATAATGCTTTTTTGTCCAAAATTTTGAGGGAAAAATAAGGATTCCTATTATACATGGGTATAATGATTACATACCCTGAGCATAATAATGGATATAAAAATCCTATATGTATAATGTGCACAAAAATGTGGGTGCACATTATACATGGCAAAATATGGTATATGTCTTTTCAGTTTAGTGTTTTGGATTTCTTTCAATAAATACCCAGAAATGGATTTGATGGGCCCTTCTTTATCTCTTGTTATATAACCTTCCTTTTATAGTTTATTTTGTCTGGTGTAAGTATTGCTACCCTAGCTTTTGTTTGTTTGTTTCCATTTTCATGAGATGTCTTTTGCCATCCCTTCACTTTCAGTTTGTTTGTATCTTTTGATCTAAAGACAGTCTCTTGTAGTCTACGGCCATACCACCCTGAACACGCCCAATCTCATCTGATCTCAGAAGCTAAGCGGGGTTGGGCCTGGTTAGTACTTGGATGGGAGAGTCTCTTATAGGCAGCATATGTACAGGTCTTGTTTTGTTATCCCTTCAGCCACTGTATGTCTTTAATTGGAACATTTAATCCATTTGCATTTAAAGTAATTGTTGATAGATTCATAATTATTGCAATTTTATTATTCATATTTATTGTTTTTTCTTCTACTTCTTCTTAAAGAAGACCCTTTAACATTTCATGTAATACTGGTTTGGTGGTGATGAACTCCTTGAGTGTTCTCTTGGAGGGGAAGCTCTGTATCTGTCCTTTGATTCTAAACGATAACTCCAATAGATAGAGTAATCTTGGTTGTAGGTTCTTGCTCTTCATCCCTTTGAATATTTCATGCCAATTCCTTCTGGCCTGCAGTTTCTGTTGAGAAATCAGCTGACAGCATTATGGGAGCTGCTTTGTAGGTAACTGTTTTTCTCTTGCTGCTTTTAAGATTCTCTCTTTGTCTTTAATATTTGGCATTTTAAGTATAATGCATCTTGGTGTGGGCCCCTTTGGGTTCATCTTGTTTGGGACTCTGTTTCCTGAACTTGTATGTCTAGTCTCTTCCCAGGTTAGGGGAGTTTTCTGTCATTTTATTTTAAAATAGGTTTTCAATTTCTTTCTTTTTTTAAAAACATGCAATCTAGTTTCTTTTTTATTTTTCTTCTTATTATTATTTTATTATTTTATGGTTTTTTAAATTTATAACTCATTTTTATTCTATTACAATTGTCTCTATTTTTTCCCCTCTACCCTCCTTCACCCACTCCACCACC